CTTAGGCTTAACATCCTAATTACTAGATCCAACACTCAGGACGATCCAAACATTGGCCTGGACGATCTGCTCCATAAAATCAGCTGTTTCAATGCACTGATCATCCTGGACGATCTCAATATCGTCCCGGACGATCCTGGGAGGAAAAATAGATTTAGAAAGGAAAAATCAAGGGAACGAGCTCTCACAATCTCCCCACCTTAGAAAAATGTCGTCCCGACATTTCCCTAAGGGTCCGAAGAAAAACAAGACAAAACAAATCCATCCAAATCCAAATCAAAATCAAAACTCGACGAAAATTAAACAAATCACACAATCCAGTCAATCACATGTCACTATGCATGATCATATGTCAATCAATCAATTAGTCAAATCAGCTTACCAGCAGAACTTTATGGTCGTTGTTGATCTTCATGATGCTGTAAACTGTAGATACGTGGCACTACTGGAGGAAGTGCAGGAGGTCGTGGCGCAACGGTCTCCCTCTGACTATCTCTGATGGCGCTATCAGTCATCCAGTTCCCTGATCTCTCACTGTAGGCTCTTGTGCCAATTGTCCTCTGCTGTCCTGTACCCGAATCAGTCCTTCCGCCCAATCCTTTCTGAGGGCAATTTGCTACTCTATGCCCTTGCTGTCCACAGTGAAAGCACTGCCCCGTCAATAAGTAACACCGACCTGTATATCGTCGTCCACAATGAATGCACTCGCTGGAACCAAAAGATACTACTGATGCAGATCCCGATGCAGATCCCCTCGAATCACCATACTTGCTTCTCTTCTTCCTATCCCTTTCTCTACCTGATTCCTCTCGTCTGGCTTCATCTCCTCCTCCTGGTGTCGTCATATCTCGATACTGGCATTGCCAAATCAATCTCTATCAATCTGGCCCGCTCCACCAACTCAAAAAACTCATGGATCCGGAAGGGTACTAGTGGATGTCTCAGCTCTCTATTCAATCCGTGCAGAAATCTATAGCATTTTTCTTTAGCAGTAGGGATCAAATGAGAAGAATGCCTCACAAGTGCAGTAAACTCGGCCTCTTACTACATCACTGTCCTGCGTCCTTGTTCCAATCTCATAAAAGCTTCCAGCATTTGTCGTTGAGCTGACGGAGGTACAAACCACATCCAAAACACTGTAGTGAACTCATCCCAGGTGATCTCAGCATTTGTCTTTCCCTAGAATTTCTCTCTCTACTGTCCAATCAACCATCTCTCTGCTTCTCCCTCAAACAGAAACACAGCTAAAGGTACCTTTCGATTTCCCGGACACTACATGCTGTCGAAGATCTTTTCTACCCTCATTATCCAATCTTCAGCAG